GAAGACAGAGCAGGGAACAACGCAGACAAGTCCCTGCTGCATGGCCATCATTCTTTGGGGGGTGCAGGGGATAGTCAAAATAGAGTAATCCAAATTAGTTTGGATGGTGACAAGTGTTATGAAGAAAATGAAACTGTTTATTGAACTAAGAACTGCAAATACGGAGACGGGTTTCAGATAGTTACTGTGGGCTGGGGAGAGGTAAATTTCAGACCCATCTTCCCCTGTCTCTGTTTATAGGTCCCTCTATTTCATTCCCTCTCAAGGACTGCTGGACACTGGGAGAAGGAGGCATGTGGGGAAGGAGGCTTTGGGCCCCACTCGCAAGTGCTAGACGTCTCTCCCACCCACAGACACGCTGCCTGGCTCTCCAGGAATTCGATTCAGCAACAGTTACTGAGCAGTTAGTTATAAAACAGTCACAATAACTGCCAATTATTGAAGGCCCGGAGAACTTCAGAGGCAGCGATGGCCTCCCTCTCTCACAGAGCTCCCAAACAGCCTGGCCAGGTGGAAGATTGCCCAGGGTCACATAGCTGGTCTCTGGCCCAACTGAGATTAAAGTCTAGGTCTGGTGACCCCGGGTCCATGTACTTTCCACCATACCCCACAGCCCCCCAGATGCTTGGGGGGCAAGTAAGTAGTCCCAGTGGTGGAAAGAGCCAGGGCCTGAGTCTGGATTCCAAGATCCTAATCTCAACCCAGGCTTGCTGAGCCAGGAGTCCCTTAACTTCTCTGGACCTCAGTTTCTCTTTGTGTGAAGAGGAGCCCATTAGCCCAGCCCACCTTGCTGTGAGCATCAGATGAGACATGGTATGCAAGCATTTTGGAGAATAACACCATGACACATAGTCAACTCCTCTGGCCTTGAAACCTCCCAGGCTACCATCCTTACCTCTCATCCAACCCTGCCCTGGTGTTAGGGCCTAAGTCAAGTTAGCCAATTGCTCACAGCAAGTTTGCTCTCAAGTAAGGGCAAAGCCTCTATGAACTCTGATCACATTGCAGCCTGGCAGATAGAAAACCAGAGTCAAGGCCAAGGGTGGAGCTGAGGACGGGACTGCCAGGCTAGAAGAAGGTGAGGGCCAGGTCAAGGGTCAGGAGTCCTGCAGATTCATGCTGAGGCAAAATGACTCAGTAACATCTCTACTCCCTTACTCCCAGGCTTGGAGCAGAAGGGCGTACTATGTGATGGTTCTTTCTCAGGCACTACCTCATTTAATATGTGAAGCATAGAAATTTCAACTAACTAGTTTAATGTTGCATACTGAGTGTATTAGTCTGCTCAGGTTGCCATAACAAATTTCCACAGACTGGGTGGCTCAAACGACAGAAATGTATTTCCTCACACTTCTGAGATTAAGATGGCAACAAGGTTGGTTTCTTCCTGAGGCTCCTCTCCTTGGCTTGTAGGTGGTCATCTTCATGTTCACACGGCAGTCTCCCTCCATGTGTCTGTGTCCAAATCTCCTCCTCTTAGAAGGGCACCAGTCATATTGCACTAGGGACCACCCATTTGACCTCATTTAACTTAATTACCTTTCTAAAGACCCTATCTGCAAATACAATCACATTTTGAGGTCCTGGGGGTTAGGACTCCAACACATGGATTTCGGAGAGGTTCAATTCAGCCCATAACAATGAGTAAGTGGACAGACTTCGCAATTGGGTCTTTCTGGATTAAAAATCTACCCATTTTCTATCATTCCACATCACCCGTCTCCCTCTCCCCTGAACTCAAACCATTCTCATTGGTCTGCCACAAAAGGAGATAACATGTTCTGAGCATCTAACTACATACAAGGTGCTTTGCCTCCATTATCTCATTTAAGAGAACAATCCTGTGAAGTGGGCACCTTGAAGAAACTGAAGCTGATGGAAAGGAAGTGGCCCGAGGGCACACAGGGTGTTAGTGGCCAAGGCAGGGCATGCACTCACATGTCCAACCCTCTCCACCCCACTACCCTACTTCCACTCCTGTGTGATATTCTCCTTACTTGACCATGGTACAACTATGTAGCAATACGGTGGTGCAGCCAAATAGATGTCAGTACTCCTGGCTGGGGCAGAGGGCTGCCAAGCATTAACCATTTAATTGCTGGAGTACTTGGGCAGAATGGGGACCCTTGGGGGAGTTGAGGGAAATGGCTATTTATCAACCAATATAGAAGTATATTAATCTTTTTACAAAGAGTAAGCAGTTCGGATGCGTACAGTCTGAACACCAGCCCTATTCTTCTCTCTCGGCCATTCCTTTGGGGGTTGGGACCATGGCTAAAAGCCAGAATTAGCTGGTGGGAGTGAAAAATTTGCTAGGAACTCTTGACCTAGAAGATGTTTGACATGAAGGCATCTCTGTCATTTGAAAAGAGAAGCCATGTCTAAGGAGTTATAACTCAGAGCAGAGGGAACAGGGCTGGAAGGGGCCTGAGAAATCACACTGTCTAAGCCCCTTACTATATGGATAGGGAGACTGAGGCCCACGGGCAAGGATTTGCCCAGGTTTTTACAGTGAGCAGGGCCAGAGCCAAGGCTGGAACCCTATCTCTGACCTCCCTGATCACATCTGCCCAAGTGTCCAGACCGCACCAGAACCAGCCTTCCATGCCCACCCACTACCCCACCCCATGAAGGCTGCATGTGAACTCAACAGCCTCTTGTTCTGCTGGTTTGTCCTGGAGATGAGATGCTGAGAAAAGGGCACCAGAGTTCCCTGGAGTGCCCTCCCCTGTTCTGATCTGGACTGGGTTGAATGAGGCTTGCAGCCATCCCTGCAGATATCTGATCCTCCTGCCTGTCCACGGCCGGGCCAGCTGACAATGCTGGTGACCACAGGGCCTGGATGGGCCACTATCTGTGAATGAGAGGGCAGGGGCCTCGTGGCATAATTTAAACTCCCTCTACCCTGACCCCCATATAAGTGAATCTATTAAGAGCACAGACTCTGAATCAGAGTGCCTGGGTTCAAGTCTTAGCTCCATCACTTATTAACTCAATGTATGCCCGAGTTTCCCTTTCTGTAGAACAGAGATGCTAACAGTAGCACCTCCCACATAGAGTTATGACGATTAAATAAATTCAGATAAGAATTATATCTTGCCCACTGTAAGTTTCAGTGAAGTTGTTAACTTTATTTACTGAGGTCACTATCACAGGTGCCAACAGCACAACAACTAAATACAAGTCCCCACTCTGCCTCTTTCTCAGTGTGGCTTTGGGCAAACTCTTCCCCTCTCTGAGCCCCAGGCTGCAAAATGAGGGCATGAGCCTCACCTCCCAGGGTCACTGCAAACATCAAAGGCGACCACAGCATGAACCCAGGAAAATTAAATATTCTGCAAATGTTTAATTCTTGCAACAGAATTAAAATAAAAGCATGCTGACAGACACGTATCTTTTCTTCTTTTTGGCACAGGTCCTCCCCTGCAGCTCCAAATAGTAGGGCATAGAACCGGCTGTGGTGGGAGGGGAGCCCGCGCCTCAGCCACGGGCCGGTCACTGACCACGGCAGCTCCTCATGGGCTGAAGCCTCCTTCCTTTACATAATTGTTCCTGGGATATCTGTTCTGATAGCACCAAAGCCCATGGCTGATGAACTTTTTTGAACTACCTGGCAGTGCACCTGAGTTATGTCATGCACTGACCTTGGGCACACATCCTTATGTAACTGTACACTGGGCCCTGCCCTGCTCTTTCATTCTCTCCTCTCCCTCCTTCCACTATTTCCCTCCTCCTTCACCCTTTACTCTCTAATTCCTGCCCCCACCCCCAGCAAACTCAGACCATACTCTTTCCTCCCCTCAGACCCTGGTTTTAAGGACAGACTTAACTTTCCAGCTCCTAGGCCTTCAACTGAAGACACTGAGGATTTCCATCTGAGGGAAGGGGAGCAGTTGTCATGAATGGTGGACAAGACCAGAGCAGAAGTTCAGAGGATAGAAAGCACTGGGTGTCTGGGAGTCTGTGCCCCCCCAAACTCAGACCATACTCTTTCCTCCCCTCAGACCCTGGTTTTAAGTACAGACTTAACTTTCCAGCTCCTAGGCCTTCAACTGAAGACACTGAGGATTTCCATCTGAGGGAAGGGGAGCAGTTGTCATGAATGGTGGACAAGACCAGAGCAGAAGTTCAGAGGATAGAAAGCACTGGGTGTCTGGGAGTCTGTCACCTACTGGGGGTGACCAGCTATGGATGGGGGTGCGCAGATGTATGTTGGGAAATGAGGATGGACAGACAGATGGGACCTCAAGAACATTGAGAGACTGAGACTGGCAGAGACAATGGGGCAAAGTTCTGATGATCAGTGTGCTCCCTGGAACCAGAGCCCACTTGGAAGTTCCAGTGTGTCCCAATACAAGGTGTGACACAGGAGACCTCTCGGCAGGTAAGCTAAAGCTGAACCAGCTCTGAGTGAAACTCTGAGCATAGAGGGGTGTGGCTGAGTGCTCAAGGGCTCTCAGGTCCACCAGCCCGAGGATTAAATCTCCATTTAGCCACTGGCAAGCCATACAATTACTTCTCCTCTCTGAGCCTCAGTTTCCCCAACTATAAAATCAGACTAATAATTGCACCTAGTTTGTTGTGAGCATTCACACAGGTGATGGTGGCACTTACAGCATTTAGCAAAGTGACTAGCATATAGCAGGAGCTCAGTAAATATAAGTCTCTTCCTTTGTCCATTACTCTATATCCTTGTCTCAGTTCTGAGGGCAGGCGTATGAACTGAGTCACCCCTATTGTGCAACAAGGCTTTATTGCACACCAGAGTTCTAAAATGTTTATTGCAAGAGATTATTATTATTGATACTAATAAATACTTACTGAGCAGTTACTATGTGTCCAGATTGTGTGAACCACTGTACATAAGTGATTCCATTGAATCTCTTCTACCACTTTCCAAGGTATTGAATGTTAATTGCAATTGAAAATAAAAAACTATTCAACTCTGCTGCTGCCATGAGAAATAAGCCAGAGATATTATGTAAAAGAATAGATGTGGCTATGTTCCAATAAAACTTTATTTATGGATGTAAAAAAAATCAAATGGAAATTCAAAGAAAGGGCTTCATCGATCTGCCCAAGACCATAGTGGGAAAGTGGATGAACTGAAATAGTCCCTGGTCATTCTGTGAATGCATCTACATTCTCTGAATCCAATCACTGTATGTCCATGATTCCAATGTCCTATGACTCTGATTGTAACAGTCGAAGTTCCAAACATCCGATTACTGTCTTTTGCTAACACGATAGTGGTTCTAATATGCTTCAACATCCATTAAGTATAAATATCCATTCTTCTACAAATACTCACTGAGAGCCTACTGCGTGCTAGGTTCTGACTGGATTTAGGGGGCACAGTGACAAGCACAGACAGCAGAGTCTCTAGATTCACAGGGCTAACTGTCTGGAGGTGGAGAGGACAAGCATGAGCCAATTTTGACAAAGGGTGGTAAGGACCATGACAGGAGAAGCAGAGAGTGCTCCAGACAGAGCACAGGATCCACCTGTAGGGGGTCAAGACAAGGCCTCCTGTATAGTTGTCAGTTAGGTTGCAGCCAGAGGAAGCAGTAGACTCTAGCCAGTGCTCCAGTTAGAGAGAACAGCGGATCCAAAGGCTGGGAGGGGAGAGGGCACCTAGTCCAAAAACTAAAGGTGGTTGTGTATGTCTGGACACAGAGATACAGGTGACAAGTGAGGCAGGAGAGGTAGCGGGGGCCAGAATACACAGGATTCTTTACGTCACGAGAAACGATTACAACCTCATTGTAAAAGCAATAGTCATGAGAAGATTTTAAACCAGGTAGAGACAAGATTGGTATCGCATTTTAAAAGAAATCCTCTTGCTGCTCCAAAGAGCTTGGTCTGGAGGTGATGATGTGTAGGCAGAGAGACCTTGAGGAGGTGACTTCCATGATCTAGGCAAGAAATGTCGTCATCTGAAAACTAGGATTAGGTAATTCAAACAGAGAGAAGAGGACAGATTTGAGAAGCTTAGGGATACACTGAATGCAGGGACGAGGAAGAGAGAGGGGCCTTGGACAGCTGGGTGGATGGTGGCACCTTTCCCTAAGATGAGGACTCGGGAGGGGCAGGTTTGAGTGGGAGCTAAGTCTTTTATTCAGGCAAATGAAGTGTAAGGCCTGTGGCACTCTCCCAAAAGGAGACGATGAGCAGGCAGGTGGCCAGAGAGGTCTGACAAAGGCCGACATGAGAGATGACAGCTAGAAATAAAGATATGCACTCTTCGGCATGGCAAGCGACTGAAGACATGAAGCATGAGGTGGGGTGGGGTGAGCAGCCCCAGGAACCCATCGCAGAGTGTGAGGAGTAGGGAATGCAGAGAAGAACCAGGGGAGCAGTCATGTATGGACTGGAACCAAGGAGGAGTCAGCAAAGGAGACCAACAAGGAGCAGACAATGGTATGAGAGAAAATGAGGAGAGAAGCCAGGAGAGTCAGCTGTGACAAACATCACATGAGGGTTGGTGAGCATTGTTGGGAGCTTAGCAGTGGCAAAGACCAGTTTATGGTTTTCTAGAGATGAATGGAAAGTGAAAACAATGAATCTAGACTGTCATTTAAGAAGTTTAACTGATACAAGGTGAGGAACTCAGTATATGCTCAGTAAATATTTCTAAGTGAATGTATCAGAGAAAAGGCTGGGAAGAGAGACAGCAGTGAGCACAGAGCAACTAGGCTGGAGGACGTGTTCTGTTGTTCTTTGGGTTTATTTTGTTTGAACATGACAGGTACTGAAACAGAAGTTCTCAAACTTCCCATTGTAACCTGTTAGTGAGACGTGAAATCAAATTGCAAGGTTGTGATCGCCACTGTTATTCCTGATCAAATAAATAGGAAAGAAAGGAAAGTAGCAGAGTGTATTACCTGCGGTAAGCGTAAGTATTGTTCTGTCAAACTTTTATTTCAGCTTTATGTACATGTATATGTACTGGTACCCGTATCCGTGGTTGTGTAATAATAACCATTTCTTACTATAGCCTGTCATAAAAAAAAAAAAAAAAAAAAAATCTCTTGATAGAACTTGTTTGCTCAAGAGATAAGAATGATTATATTTGTCCTAGGACAGAAGGTAATACATTGAGCACGCAGCATGCAATCATGTCATCATGTACCCTAAGCCTGATAACAAAGTTCATTGGCCCTTAAGGACTAGACTAGTCATTTGCACCACCATCTAAATGAGACATCGACCCAGACAGAGGGCACTGTAGCGAGGGGCAAAGGAGACAACGGTCGGACTAACTTTGTCAGCTGGAAATGGCCCTGCAAATATGTTGTTATTAATAAGCTGTTCTTGCCCATGTCAATCGGAAACAAAGCCGGGACTGGGATCCCACGTCCTGACTTCCAGTCAGGGGCCCTCTGCCTGCAGAGTGTGGTAGTCTGTTTTTGCCAGGAAGACAGGGCAAAGAGGAAAGTGAGGAGGGTCCCAGGAATTGATTAAGGATTGGGAGACTAAAAGGAGAGAAGAACAATAGAGGGGACAGACAAGAGGGAGTAAGTAGTGCATGGGGGGAGGGGCAGAAGGATAGAGAGTATTGTCAGGCCTCAGGAAGCAGACTGACAGGCTAACAAGAGAGGGACGAGGACTCCCAGAACCTTCCGTCCTCCCTGGGCACCCTTCTCTGGGGCTCTCAGATGAACACCTGCCAATGCAGAGACCAACTATCTGTTCACGACAGAGGTATCCTCACTGTTCCATGGAAGCACAGAAGGACCTCAAACGGCAGAGCTGGGAAGGTCAGGGGAGGTTTCCTGGAAGAGATGGTACTGAGCTGAATTTTGAATGGTAAGAGATGGGGTGAGGCAATGGGGTACTACCATAGGAAGCAAAGACATAGAGGCAGCAGAGAACTGGCAGAATCTGCATGAACCTCAACGGCTAGGGATGTTGAGGCAGCAAATCACAGCAGGAGGCAGGGCTGGAGAGGGGACTGCACAGAGACACAAACCACTGCACTTCCAGGGTCAAAGGAACAGAAAGTGTGGGAAATGGAAATGTCTCTGTGGAGGAGGCAACGGGGCTGGAAGACAGTGAGGGCTGCAGCTGGTAGCTTGGGCTGAGAAAGTCATTCCAGGCAGGGGAAAAGTATGGAGGTGGGAGAGTGGGAGAGAAATATTTAGAGAAGCATTTGACTTGGCAGGAGGGGAGGGGTGTTCATCATTCAGTGACTACTGAGAACCAGCAAAGCCCATGCACAGAAACCTACCCTGCAGAAGAATGGCTAGTTCCCTCAAAGAGCCCGTTTTAAGTTCTAGTTGTGTGACCCTGGATGAGTCACTTCTGTTTCCACATCTGTGAAACGGGGGTGATAAGTAACTACCTAAGACATTTGCTTAGAGGTTTAAAAATGAGAATGTATGGGGAAAGACTCTGTACACCCTAAGGCATTCTGCCACGTGCCCCAATCCCTGTACTGACATTAGAATCACCACTAGAGCTTAAAAAAAAAAATGCCTCAGGTCAACCCAGACCTACAGAATCAGAAGGGTGCTTGGACAGGCATTCTTTTTCTTCCATTTCTTCTTTTCTATTTCTTCATGTGGTCCTGATGCTCTATTAACTTTAGATCGGCCAGCTTCTGACAGCTGGGGAGAAGAAAACGCAGGAGAAATATAATTAGAGATCCTGGGGTTCCTGGAAATACATTGGATTTGGAGGGTTTTCTCATCAGGGCTTGACTGCTATGCTAAGGGAAAGAAAAAGAAAGACCTCTTAGCTTTCTCAAAACATGGGGAAATGAGCAAGGCAGCCAAAGGGACTGATGGCCCATTTGACCTCGTCTGGAGAGTCCTGAGAGATAACAGACCTTTCAACTAGTTACCCTCAGTTGCAGTACAGTAATCAAGAAAATCAATTAGAAGCACACAGTATCCTATGGCTTACAACATATTTGCATCTGTATTAATTTATTTGATCTTCATATTTCTGTGAGATGGGGCTTCTTATTTATTCCCATTTTATAAGAAAACTGAGGCTCAGGGGGAGAAATGACTACCCAGAAGTCTATAGGTAGCCGGGAATAGAGCAATGATTTGTATATGGGACTCTTAAATTCCAAGTCCTCTCTACCACATTCTGCTTCTTGCATTGATTGCAAGGTAATAGAAAGAGCACTGGAGCCCTAACTGTTGTTCTAGCTCTGCCGAGAACTTGCTGTGCAACCCCAGACAGATCTCTTGCCTTCTCTGAGCCTCACCATTTATCAATCTAGTGTGGTTATCATACGGATTAAATGACGTAATGACCTTAAAAGTATCCAACACAATCCCTGACATGTGATAAAGGCCAGGATGACCACAAGAAGGTGAAGAGAATGGGGAAAGTGGTAGTGCATAAGCACAGAGTATGGCAACATAATGGAAGGAGGGACCAACTTTGCCAGAGGGTTTCCTAGGGGCGGAGAATTTGGTCAGAGACTTGAAGAATGCAGGGTCGCTTCCCTGCCTTACCTCCCTCCCCTTGGTTTCAAGTGAAGAGGACTAGAGCTTGGGATGTGTAATGAGGCTGAAGAGGTGGGGATTGTGGGGCTATAAAAAAATTAATACTTTTCCTCCCACCTTCTAAGTTCGTCTAACTGGGCTAATAATCAAATTAACAGTGACAGATTGGGTATATGTGACATTTTGGACAAAGGAGAAGAGGGGGGAATGGGGTATTAAGATTTCAGAAGCGAGAATGGGCAATTTACAGGTAGTTGAGTAAGAAAGGAATACACACACAAACACACAGGAAAGGAAAATTCTTGCTAGGCAACTGGAAAACAATGGGAAACTGGGGTATCGAGCTAAAAGGCCCAGCTTGAAGCCCTCCTATTTACCATATTTAATTCAAATTAGGCTGAGGTGAACATCCTAAAATTTCCTCTCCGAAGCAGGCTTTTCTATCTGAATCTCTTGGGCAGGAAAGGGAGAGGGGTCAAAGGTTCATTCTGAGTCTTGTTTCTTAATACAGTTTAAAATCAATATTCCAAAAGGCAAAACTTTTGGTCTCCTTCAGAGTGAAGGAAGCATGTCACATGGGCCTTGAATGCCTGGCCAAGGAGTTGGAATTTTGACATTGAAAGGTTTTAAGCAGGCAAATGTCATGGTCCATTTTGCAGATTTGCAGTTTATAAAGGCCATTTTTTGGTACGGTGGGACAGCAGACAAGAGGGGTCCTGGAGGCTGAGAGACCATCGACTGAGGCACATCGCAGAGGGAGGGTAGGGCTGATAGAGATTCCCCACCAGAATCCCCTGGAGGCCACCTCCCAATTAAAGAAGATCAGAGATATGATGAACGTAGAAGTGCTCAGAAACAGCTGCCAGCCACCAGCTCAAATGTGAAGGGTTGTTTGTTATGCTTATAGTAAGTGAGAAGCCCTTTGAAGGGGCCTGGAGCCTCCAGCCCAGCAAGCTCGACCCTGCAGACAAAGGGCAGTGGGAGTTAGCGTCCTTCGGTTCCCTGGAAGTGGAGTATTCATCTCCATTTCTCAGAGGCTGAAGTAAACCTCACTCTACAACACTACAGCAAGGGAGGAGGTTGAAAGTCTCTAGGTCAGGGCCAAGAGGGGTTCCTTTGAACAAAAGGCCCCCCCCACACACAGGAGGGTTGGAGGTAGCAGGCAAGTGGGCTAGCTGGGCCAGAGGGTCAGGTGACCATTCCTTGGTCAGACCGCTGGGCTTTCCAGCCTCTGCTTCATCCCTGACAGGAGACACCTTGGGATAATAATAATAATGGCGATGACAATGCACAATGGTGCTTCCAGTGAGCCAGACTAATGCTTTACCAAGTGACCTTGTTTACTCCTGACAATCCCTCAGAGAGGTTAGGTAATTTCCCTAAAGTTACTTACCCATAGCTGGTAGGTGACAGGGATGGCGTCTGACCCCTGTCCAAGCTTGGGGCACTCTCCGAATGCTGTTTTTTTCTGATTTTCAAGTCTCTCTCTCCCCTCTAGGCAGGGAGGGGAGGGGGCACAGGAAGGGCTCTGACTCCTCCTAAGGGCCTCAAGATGCACAGAGTACACTTAGGGGGTGCAGAGTTGACTCTCAGCAGCCCGTTTACTCAGCTCTCAGCTCGATTGTGAGGAGGTAACGATGCAAATGGGGTCTATAGTACCATTTCAAAAACTGACAAGAAGTCTGAGCTGGGTGGCCCCCACTGGCCTCCCAGTTCTGGAAGATGAAATTCTAACTGGGGGCCGATGATGGATGGAGAGGAGATGGGGGAGCTCTCCCTATCCCACAGTGATAAGACCAGACTCCTAGCCTTCTCCCTAGACCTCCCTAACTGGCAGGGTCCAAATGGTCCATGGGTCTCGCCCCAGGTGAGTGGAGTTGCCACACTACCACCACAGTCTTTGACTGCAGGATAAGGACTTGCAAGAGCACTCTGTTCTCTGGGCAAATTTGATTCTGCTGCCTTGTGGCCTCTACTCCTCCTTCCCCATCTCCCTCCTTCCCTAGACACAAAGGCAGACACAAATACACAAGCCCAAGCAAAATTTTTAATTGAAAAAAAAATTTTTTTTAAGTACTAAGGAAAAAAGGAGCAAAAAGACTGGGTGGGCAAGCCTGGGCCACTGTAGGGGGAACACTGCCTAACTGCACAGAAAAGAAGTTTTGGGGAGGCCCAGGGCTCAAGACCATAGCCTCCCTCAACAAAGACTCCCACTCTGTGCCTTTGGTTGGGGTCCCTCCTCCTGTCTGTAGACTGGGAGAGTCAAACTCACACCCACTCGCCACATAGGGAATGTAACCACCAAGCAATTTCTCCCCAAACTCCCATTTTAATTAGATTTTTTGCAAGTTTTCCTGCCCTTTTCACCACAAAGGGGTGAGAGAGGGTGGGCTGCAGAGTTAGGAATATAGACATAAACTGCTGCCTAGTCACATGCAGTTTCTCTTCTTAGAATCCCAATCGGAACTTCGATAATTCATACCAGAAAAAAAAATAAATCTGTTGCTTATTCTCTTCTCTCCTGCCAGCTTTTGTGCCCAAGTCCAGCTTTCTCCTTTCTGCTTCTCTGCGGGTTCATCTTTCAGCCAGTCTCTCTCTGCTTGGGGATTCTAGGTCTCCCTCTCACTAACGTCTCTGGACCTCTTTCACTCATTAAAAAAAATGGGGGGGATAAAATCGAGAAGAGGGGAGCCTCCCTCGCCCAATCTCTTTCTTACCATCCCCCCCGACACACACACACACACACACACACACAAACACACACTCACACTCTCCAGCGACCTCCAGATGTTCCCGACTGTGCGGCCATCTGCTGAGATTGCTCAGGCGCTCCGGGAAGGGGGCAGGGATCCCGGTTGCCGGAAGCTGGGAGCGAGGCCGACTGGAGTGGGCGGGAGCAGCGTGCGCACTTTTGAGACGCTCCCTAGGGTGGCACCCGGGCTCCGCAGGCGGGCGGGGGGCGGGGAGCGCGCCAGGAAAAGCAGACACTTTGGCGACACTCCCTAAATCTGGACTGCCTGCGGAGCCGCCACTGGGCGTCGGGCGG